ATTACTGGGGGAACAGTATTACTGTGTGGCTAAATAAACATAAAAGCAACATGTTGCTCACTGCTAGCAAGGACAAGTCTGTGGCGAGACTGCCGGAGAAACTCAAAACCCGACGATGAATCTCCACCGAAATCCACAACTACCAAAACAAGAGAGCAAAAACTATGACCAGGCATATCCCAGACCAGAGTGTGCTCTGGTGTGACAACTTGAAGCTGAATGGGTCACAAAGCCACTTGGAGATTGGAGAAGTGACTTCTTCCTTATTTCTATTTTCTGCAATGTCACACACTGAAGTTGTATTCTGTAGTAATAACAGTTCCTGTTTCTAAAACAAAAATACTATAAAAGCAGTTTTGCAAAAAAAACCCAAAAAAACCCCAAGCACGTGTTTTATCTGTGAAAAGAATGGCGGGGGTCACACAGTTAAGCTCTCATTATTCCTCAGCTGGTTCTCTGCATTGTCAGTGCACAACAATAAACATACAAGAAGTGGGTTTTGTCTCCATCCCCCAGACAGCTGCTCAGTGGAGCTATCATCTCTCCAAACCTCTGAATGATCGTTATGTTTTGCAAATATCGTGCCTTGTTTTCTTGCTTTCATTCACTCTTAGCCTGAGTTTATATGTGATCTGCGTATGTCTGAACAGAGGCGAGCCTTAGCTATCGTGCCTCTGATATCATCATATAAATAATGAATAATTCCAAATAATAATTCTTTAATTTATTTATGTCTGTAGCTGGATAGAGGAAGGGGTCTACAGATTGAAGTTGCCATTTATTTGTAAATGAAATGTGAAAATTAACCATTATTTTTGTGCATGTGTGTCCTTTCACTGATCCGCTCATCACTTGAGCTTAATCGGAATCCTCATGATGGTTTATTTCACAATATATGTCTTCACCAATTCGCTTAGCACTGTGTGTGTGTGTGTGTATGAGAGAGTGTGAGTGTGTGTTGCCATGGTTCATTGCAAACCCTGTTTCACACTGGACTCAACCACTGTTAACGCTTCATTTGAACCCACGTAATTGTAAATGTACCCGCCTTTTCCACATGATTTGCTGGAAACACTGTCAAACATATGCAAACAAGATAACTTTTTAAATTTGATTAAAAAATATATGTCCTGCTTTTGTCACGTCTGAATGTTGTATAGGGAAAAGTGTTACATGGATTTTACAATGGACTGGATTTTGTGCCAGCGTTGAGCTGGAAGCACCATTTATATGTCTTGGGGATCAAACATCTACGGAACTGAAACTGACTTCTAAGAAATACTAGTTTTTGTTTTGCTTTTTCCTTAAGAAAAGAAGAAGTAATTGCTGAGAAAGTTACAGGAAATTGTCAGGCGTGTAACTAAGAAGCAGATGTTTTGGCTTCGACAACTCTCTGACTTGAGTTTGTCTTTTTTTGTTTGTTTAATTTAAAGCCCATTTCATAAATCTAACGTCAGCTCCCAACAGTTGATTGTGCTCCTTGTTTGAACTGCTGCCTCCTGCCTTTTATTCCTCCCAGTCTCTACCAGTTCCTCTCCATTTGGCTCTAAACTCCATCAGCTTTATGAAGGCTGACTGCTACTTTCCTCTCTGAGGCTGTTTCATCTACATCTGTTACCCCCCATCAGCACTAAGTGTGTGTGCTCCCTCCCACACACCCCTCTCTTTCACACTATTGTGCCAGCCCCCAGCAAGTAGTCTGGCAGGATCTGCTGACATCAGCGCTGGACATCCAGGATCTGTGTTTGTGTTTACGCATCAAATCTCTGTGTTCTAAAACTATACTACCACCTCGGGGCCACTTAAAACGTACAGTCACGCTCTTAACCGCGTCAGCAGCCGTTACAGACATCTGAGTGCGGGTCGATCTGGTGCTCTTTGCTGGACCATTATCAGAGCAATTAAAAGGCCCACATTAGCCTGTGATGTAGAGTTATGCAGATTAAACCCAGTGGAGTTGAGGATGTATGAGCCGAGGGGATTTTGCTAAGTGCCCACTTGTATCCTCTACTTTCTCCTGCTCTGCAGGAGAGGAGGAAGTCAATTCAATAGATAACAAAGAAAGTCACCTGTAGACGAAGATCTGGCCTGCAAAACATTGCCTATCATTGTGTCGCAGACGATTTCACTTCTATATGTCTACACTGGAGACATATAGGGGCCATAGGGGGGCTTTGTCTTTATATCGTGGAGCATAAAACGATGAGTTTATCATTTATGTTTGCACCAGTATCTAATAGGGGTGGGTTTTGATAATCGATTTATCGATTAAAATCAATTCTAGCTCAGATAACGTGATATCGATTCATTAAAATCCTGAATCGATTTTTTAATATAAATTTATTTTGCCTGAAATGCCAGAATCTCAGGTGAAACCTCACAACATTTCAACAACCACCAAACAGCTAAAACAGTGAATGAAAGTAGGAACACAATACTTCAAGAACAGTTTCCCGTCTAAAAATCTGTTTTCTGCATTATTCGCTTGCTTGTTACGCACAAGACTGCCGTTGTTTACAGCGCTGTCGGCTGCTGTTTTTTTTCCTTTTACTTACTTCTGAAAAGAAAACCTAATTTCTGCTGTTCAATGGGCTACAGAACAAATTGAAACTTTTTTAAATTATGCAAAATGCAAAACACTTAGCTGTGTCTCTGATAAAACCGCTGTAACTTCAGAGGAAATGTCCATGTTGATTAATGGTTTTCTTTCGTTTTTGATCTACTGCAGAATATTTTTATAAAATCCCAGGCCAGGAAAATCACCTTCAGGTTTTTCTGTGTTTTATCTTCAGCTACTTTGACACAAAGGCATCTGCTGTGATGCTTACACCTTTGATAAAGTCTTGCGAGTGTCAGCTTCCTTTTTATGGATACAAAAATATGTAAATGTACTAATCTTAATTATAATATTTCTGACTGTCTGAGGCAAAATTTCCCAGATACAAATCGAATTGAATCTAATCATGGATCGAATTGATTCAGGACCTTGTGAATCAGAATCGAATCGATTCTAGAAATCAGTGACGATACCCAGCCCTAGTATCTAAGTAACCCCTGTTTTTGCTTGAAGTCCTGCAAAAAGTTGTATTATGTATTTTGTATCACAAAGTTTTTTCATGCAGTTGCTGAACATTTGGCCTGCTTTGCACTTTCCTCGTGAACTATTCCCAGGTGTAATTTGTATTTTTTTTTTCACATGTATATATTAATTTATACTTTAATTACTCAGAAAAGATTTCTATAAAGTAATAAAACTGACCATTGTTTCTCTCTTTTTTTACTTATTTGATTTTGCATGTCTAAGTTACATGTGTAGTCCAGACCTACTTAACTGTATGCAACTTGAGGGTCTCATTAGTATGACACGCATGAAAGATGGGATTTTACTGTTGTTAACATGTTATTAGACAGATTATGAGACCATATTATGAACGGAGACCAGCTGTGACATCACTGTAATGCTGTAAGCAAATTAACGTAATGCACTGACGAGTATTTTAGCACATGTTTTTGGCTTAGAACACAGGTTTCCTGCAGGTGTAGATGGCATGAAGACAAATCACCCTTGTGCATTCATCCATGCAGTATGAGCCTATATTCACCTAGTTCAACCCTTTAAAGTGTGAAAACCTCAAAGCCTGCATGGAAAGCAGCTGCACAGTTTGCAAGTCTCCTGATCTTTATCATCAGGTCAGACAGATTTTAAAAAAGTTACCTTTTGTGACAATGAGTCGTGAATCTGTTTGCAAAACTCTCAGCTGCTACTGTAGATTAATTAAAATGCAACAGACATGTTAGTTATTGTGGGCAGAGGTAGAAAATGTGGTGATGAAAGCAAAAAACAGATACAGTCCTGTTCCTGTACAACGGAGCCCAGGGTGGAAGAGGTTAAGCAAACTGTTTCTCTGAATCTGAGCTCCCTCTGCTCCGACCTGCTCACTGGGCAGTCAGATTCCTGTAAAGATCAGCCTCTTCTCGTCCTCATTAAAATGGGCAAATGAAGTGTGTTCAGCAGGAGAAGCCTGTGGGTGGACAACGCCAGTTCAGGGAAGCGCTCGGATAATGAATTGCACTGGATAAAATCCACACTAGACTTGGGTTTCTCCTGAAGGATAATCCCCCCCCCCCAAACCACTCTTCCTCTTACCCCCCTTGGATTTTACGAAAGTCATTAGCAGCCCATATCCCCCTGAGGGTGGAGACAGTGGGTTCTGCCTGTGTTTTTCAGTTGTGAAAAGGAGCCAACAGCCTCCCCCTTTTTCATGCTTTTTAAGGCTCATTGACATGGAGAACGAGGGCCGTGGAAATGCTTTATGTGCCGGTGGGTAAACCACAGCAGGTGACCCAGAGTCGCAGTAATACAGCGTCTTTAACACATGCTGTGCTTGTCGAAACTACAGAGTATAGCCTCATTAAATCAACAAAAAGGAAATACAAACAAACACCACCAAAGGCTGCGGCTCTTATCAGGGGTGGCCAGGTACAAAGCATGCAGATGTGCACCCACTGGGAGAAGGCCAAGGAGTTCAGGCACTTTTACAAACTCTTATCCATTCAGTCAGGAGACTGGCTGCATGCGTGAACATCGACTGGGAGGAAATCAAAGTCAACGGGCAGATGCTGGTGTGAGAAATAATTAAAGGGTCACAAGTAAATAAAAAGGATACGATTCTAGAGACACTCCACAACCTTTGTTGTCACAGTTTTGTTTGAATAGAAGAAAAATGCATAAGAGTGAGATTCAGGATAGAAAAATATTTGTTTCATACCTCATATTGGTCTCTTTTTGTACACTTTCGTATCTCAAGTTAATAAAACATCAGTGTAAAAATGATATGGATTCACACACAAGACTTCGAGTTCAGACTTTTATTTATTTTTTATGTTTTTTTATGTCACACCACAATTTGTCAAACAATAATTGCACACGAATGATTAACTCTTACATTATTATTCTTAGCTTTTTACAAAAATATTTATTTACACTGGGAAATGAGGTGAAATGCAAAATAAATAGTTTTTTTTTCTTTTTTCAAACAATTAAACCACAAACTTGAGTTGCACTCAGCATTAAATGGCCGGTTTGAATCCTGCCAGTCGGGGCAGCAGACAGAGCCACTCCTTTTTCTTATTCTCTCCTCTCAGTTTTTCTCACTCTGGCTGCAGGGTTGGGGCCCTCAGCCTTGTATAGTCATGCGCTCTCACAGCTGTGAGTGCCGGGATCAGCTTTTTGTTAAGATGGCAGCGGTAAAGTAACTCTCAGTTGACGGTGGAGATTCCTTCACCAGCACGAATAAGAGAACAGCGGGTACTGGCTCCACTCGGCCACGTTGCCATGGTGATAGCTGTGATGCACAGCTTGCGTGGTGTAGTCAGTGGTCAGATGATGAGGAGGGGGATACTGGGAAGGACCTGGGCCGCCCCACTGGCCCAGGGGCTGCTCGGTGCTGTAGGGGTTGTAGATGTGGTGACCGATGACCCCTGGCTTGCTGGCCTGGGCCACAGACATGTTGAGCACCCCTGTGTAGTCCTGGGGGCCCGGGAGGTGCTGGGGGCCACAGCTGGAAGGGCCAACCTCACGGGCCTTTGAGGAGTCGTGATCAGGGACCGTGGCTATGTCGGGAACTCTGGACTCAAAGCTGCTGCGTCCGGATCCACTGTTGCTGCTGCCGATGCTGGAGGAGGGGGACGGGGACTTTCCATACTCATGGAACCTGGGGAGTAAAAAAAAAGAAGAAAAGAACGAATATTGATTGGCATTCATCAAAACAACATGATTATAATATGATCTGCTGCATCGCTGTTTACCTGTATGACTGGTAGGAAGCTGGAGTAGGAACAAGCTGCTCTGTGCTGTAGAGATCTCTTGTGTCTGCCCCAACAGGAGAGTCAGTCCTCACTCTGTGCTCTCTCTCAGCATCCCAAGGAGAGTAGCGCTCCTCTTTGACACCATCCTCTTCTTTTCTTTTGGGCAGCTCTTCATCCTCTCCGTCGAAACCTTCATACGAAGACTGGCAGAAGTCTGAGGAGCCACAGATCATCAAATGAGAGGAAGAACAAAACAAAAAAAGCATCAACATGAAGAGAGAAGAGTGTGAAAACGGTACCTGGTGGACTGTCTTCTTCAGAGTTCAAAATGTCTGATGCCTTGGTCCTCTTCTCAAGGCATGATGGGTCCTTATTGGCACGTCTGCAGCAGTAGATCAGTTATATTAAAAACAAATACAAACTACAATACACTGAACAATAAATGAGCTCAGATCCTTTCAAGTCAACGGACCAAACTGGAGCTTTCGCGTTGGCATTTTAACCTCACCTTTTCTTATTAGTACCTTCATCCCGGAAGCCTTTTGCAAATGGGTTGTGATCGATCTTCAGCTTTGTAATCTGCAGGAGAGGGAGACACAAAGTCAAAGTTAAAACTTTGTGATTTGTCTCTCGGCACACGGCATACTTGCAGTGCTAGAAACAGACCTTAGTGTTCTGGTAAGCAGTGACTGCAGTGAAGGAAGTCTCCGGGAAGGTGAAGGTCTGGAAAACACTCCAGCGCACACTGAACAGGTCGTCTGCCTGGACAATGTGGAAGCGCGGATGGTAGCGATGCATGGAGTGCAAAATGATCTGCAGACAAGGAACATTTTTTTGAACATTTTTCGCTTCCTTGAACGCGGTTTTACTGTGTGCTTTTGACATGTCGACTTAAAGACCACGCTGTCTTTTTTATCCGCTTTTATCCCCGGTGGGAGGAAACTGTAATCGGAAGGTTGTTGAATTAACTATCCTCCAGCCAAATGTTAGAAAAAAAGCACTGCCGAAACGTTCGGTCTAAAGACGTCAAAGTGTTGCAGATGTTGCTTTTACTCACATGGCCGTGCTGGTCGAGCGTGTTGTTGGTCAGCTTGAGCTTGAGGAAGGAGACGGACTGCTTCATCCAGTGACTCCCTGGTGCTGGAGAGTCTGGGTGGAGGTAGGTTCTGCAGGGTGGCTGAGGTTCTGCTTTTCCTGCCACCTCCCACTTCTTTTTATTCCACTGTTGGAAAGAGACACATGAGTCAGTCAATTTGAAAAAGGTGAGTAGCGGAAGAATTTTCAACTCCTTCCTTTTCCACCATAGACTGGAGAGCGATGGCTGGCCTGTACCACCCACAGAGATGGGGAGGGGAGCGGGGGGGTAGTACAGTGGGCTCACAGCAGGGGATAGAAAAACAGGAAGAGATAACATCCTTTGATGTACAATGTTGGGGGTGTGTGTGGGGGGTGGGGGTGGGTGATAAACAGGGGATGTCTTGTCTGGGGCTAGTGGCTACCACTTTGGGTTATCTACAGCCAAACCTATGACTCTAGTGAGGCCTTGGGAAGTGAATTTTCTCTCATGCATGACTCATTAATACACAAAGGAGAAAGCTACTGGTGTCTTACCTTATACCTGAAACCATCCTCTGGGACCATGTCGACCAACAACACGTACTTGGCACATGGAATAAGCCCGGATAGATTCACTTTGCAATGTGGAAACATTCGCCTGGTAAACATGGGAGAAAGAATGAGTTCTGTAAAAGGTGGGGGAGCAAGGTGTGAACATTTAACATTTTATTTTATTTTTCTGTTGCCCTACCTTCCCGGTTTAGTGATGATCATCTCTGTCCCTATTTCATGGAAGGTCGTCCACAGTTCAGTGTCCTCCAGAAACATCCTGATATTGCCCTGGAGATAGGCATCAGGTCCGGGAGCTATGTGGGCCGGAGGAGGTCCACTGAAGTTGGACTTCAAGTCTAGAAGAAAAACATGAATAAGCATTTTTTACTGGAAAAACTGGTAGAAGAAGACACGTGTGCTTACGGAGGCAAAGCTGATATTAAGAAGTAGTCATCAACTCACCTCTGATGGACTGCATCCTTTGGATTAAACTTGATATGTTTTTAACTGAAAAGGCTTTAAAAAACAAAAAAAACAAAAAAAAAAAACAACGAAAGAAAGAAAAGACAGAGAACTCAGTCCAGGTGTGTGATATCCAAAGTGCGTCTTCAGCTCTTCTCTGTCTCCTGGGTCTCTTTCCACACATGCAAAAGAAAAATCCAACAGCCCAGGAAGGAAGTCAGAAGGTCAAATCAGTCCTCGCTGCAGATGTTTCAGAGATGCTGAGTCCTTGCAGGATGGGATGACCATGACTTTTAAGGGTAGCCCAGGAGTGGGTGGGGCCAGGGAGGCCATCCTTTTGAAGTGGCACAATGATGGGTTGGAGTCCAACTGTGATTGGAGAGTGCTGGAAATCAAAGAGACTTAACAGAGGCTTGATACCATCCCCACAGGAAGGTGGGGGGGGGGGGGGGGTGAAAGAAATGCATCTTTATTAACTGCTAAGAGACTTTAAAAACAAATAGAGATGGACTTCCGTGCTGCAGAACACATAACTCAGTCCAGCAAAACCTGTGTAAATATTTCCCTCACACACACACAAACACACATGAAAATGCCATTTAGTGTGTTTGTGGTTAGAAAAAAGTCATTATAATTCATTTGGCACAACTGAGAGAAACACAGCTGAAGGTCTGTGTAAACGGGTTAATGCACTGTGGTCTGTGTGTGCATACAGGTAGGGTCAATTTTTTTTTTTACATTTTTCAGAAAATCAGCAGTGTTTTCAATAGCTTAGTTAAAGTACACAGGCTTTTCTCATAAATACATTGCATAAATCTGACATATTGGTCTGGAAATGCACACATACACACACATATATGTATTTTCATATTCTATATATAATACATTTTTTCATCATCTCCTTTACACTTTCCATCAAAGGCACGCACAGCAGTGGGTGGGAAACTCTATGTAAACCCATAATGACGATGACAACATGCACTCTTTCTGCAGGTAACTTTCACCTGAGGGCTTTGTGTGAAGCCTGCCAGGTAGTGAAGACTGCATGGAAAGAAGGGGGGGGGGGGGGTATGTGTATTCAGGTGTCTAGACAACCCCTGATAGATAATCTCATTAAACTGGCTCCCCTTGAAATGAGCACGTTTCTGCAGCATGGAGAAAGCCCAGGCAATTAACAGCCAGTTAGCACCAAAGGCCCAAGTCAGCCTTGAATGGGACAGGAGGGGTCAGAGAATAAAGACCTGGCACAACAATCCAGCCATCCTCCAGCCCTCCACACACGGGACAAAATCCACAGCTGCGTCTTTGCTCGCAGACCCGTCTCCTCCTGCATCATGCCACTCGCTGCAGGCAAAAGAATTTATTAGAAAACTGCAAGTATTTGCATAGAAGGGAAAGAGAGAGAAAACCACAGTTTCCCTTCTTGCCTCCACCAACACACACACTCACAAATTTGAATTAAGTGAGTTTCACATCTCATTGAACCTCTTTTTCTTTTTCCTAGCACAGACACATCACTTCCAGTCAGGTTTCTAATTGTAATCCCATGTATGTGTGCTGCATACAATGCCTTCTGTAGGCCCAAACCCTTTTACTCCCACACACCAAGGAGTCTTTTGTTCACGTGTGACTGTATGGATAACAGCTCCGGGCACGAAACTACGAGCGGCTTTTACAGGTGAGGAGCGAAACACAGAGGTGGGTTTATGAGACAGCAGAATTGGCAGTTGGGTGTGCATAAAGAGGCGCGAGAAATAAAGTCTCCCCTGTGAAAGTATTGAGCAGCCTGTTTAAGACTTTTGTGGAGGGTCGATGTAGAGTAAAGAAAAAAAAGGAGGAGGGGTGACATTCAGCTTTTAATGATACACTTAAGAGATCGTGGTCTGATAATTTACCTATGTTAAATGCCCTGATGCAGGGCTCTCCACTCTCTCTGTGGAATTGCCCCCCCTACCTTATGTGAAAAACAAATACACTGTTGCTCTCCACACTTCTTCTCTGGTCATGTTTCAGGGGACCAGAGAAGGGGTCACGCAACTTTTTTGGCTGTTTGTCAGCAACGCGAAGGGCTGAATTCTCTTTAGATCACTTCAGCTTTAGCAGAGGAGAGCATGTCAGCTTCAGAGCGGAGGTGTACATTTCAGCAGCGGCAGTGTCAATCCCATTACGCAGTGGTTCTGAAGGCGACAGGTGTGACTGCTAAAGGCCTCAGTGCGGGGCCAGGCGACAAAAAGTCAGGGTGTACAGCGCCATGGCAGAAAGCTTATGTAAGAGCAAGCCCAGGGGAGATTTAGGCTGGATGACAAATCAGGGAGCCTGTCTGGAGAAGACTGATAGAGGCTGCCAAAGCCCAAATATACTCCATGAATAAGGCTTTTTTACTAAAGAATGTTCGAGGGTGACAGAAAGGGTCTCGCGCTGCAAAAAAAGACTTATCAGAGATACGCTGTGTCGCAGTGACTCCTACTCCCAGATCACCTTCAGCAGAGCTCTTCTACCTACCAGGTGTCAGTCTTTGGCCATTTGCTTTAACTGCACAGATCTCCCTGTGCTCAGCATTTAACAGCTGCCAATATACAGCCAGGGCCGAGGGATCAGACGGCTCTCTGGCAGCCCAATAAAAAGCCCCCTTGAGTGCAATGACGAGAAATCTCACACCTTTTGCTCACATTAGCCATGCAGCGTAGTCCTTTTGATGCTAAATCAGCCACATTGAGTGGTTTGTAGAGACAGCAGCCGGCAACTAACACGACGAATGAGAGGAACGATCAATTTACTTTAGATCGTTAGAGGTGCTGTGTTATGATTGGTCACTTTAAGAAAAAAGTTGAGGAAAAATGGGAGAGAGGATCCTTCCATGCCCTCTCTGACATCCCTGTCCTAAATGCAGAGTGGCCGTGATCTCATCTACACAAACTTGGGGCTGGGGGGACCTCACATTTGGTCCACCACATAAGAAAACAAATCTCACATCTAGCTTGCCTGGCAAAGAGGGCAAATGACAACTTCACAGCACTTCATAAGAAACTCCTGGAAGTTGCTAATGAAGAATAATGGCTTCCCTTGTGTCAGAGATTTCACACCACTGTGCACAAGCCCTTTGACCGCAGTCAGTGTGGTCAGATGGCTGCAGGAGTTCAGAGGCTGTGCAGCTCCACCACCAGCAGGAGGACTCAAAGAGGAGAAATCCATCTTCACCAGAGCTGAGTCTTAGGAGGTGCACAGTGCCCCAGTTGTGAATCTCCTTAAGGCAGATGTGTGACATTGCACAAGATGAAAAGAACACAATTTCAGCTTTCCTGAAATGAGTTTTGGGAGTTTTTGGTTTTAAGTTATTTGATCACAACAGAAAATAAAATGCAGACAACGGGAAATAGTGGGAAATCCAAGTCACCATGTGTGCCCCCCAAAGGTTTGTGCTTTCTTTAAGTGTGGGACATTTATACTGTCCAATGAGAGTTGTTTGTAAGGTGTCTTAACACTTCTATGCTGCTTTCCTCTGACTAAACAGAGAGTTGACTCAACATTAGAGCAACAGCCTCAAACTGCACTCATAGTTGTCAGATTGCTTAAACGTGACTTTGTTACAATACAGTTTGCTAAATGTGTTACTTTGTCTGACATGAATAATAAATGCTTATGTAATCTATTGTAAATGTATTATTAAAAGGACACTCATAGGCCATTTCATTAGGTACAGCAGCTTGCTCGCACCAATATCTAATCAGCTAATCACATAGCAGCAAGTGAATGTGGTCAAGATGACCCGCTGAAGCTCAAACTGAGCATCAGAATGAGGATGAAAGGTGATTTAAGTGACTTTGAATGTGGCATAGTTGTTGTTGCCAGAAAATCTGCTGGGATTTTAACACCCAACCATCTGTAGAGTTTACAGAGAATCGTCAGTTTTTAGGGAGAAAGATGCCTTGATGATGTCAGAGGTCTGAGGAGAATGCTTTGAGCAGTGAGGCAACAGCAACTCAAATAACCACTTGTTACATTGAAGGTAGAAGAGCATCTCTGAATGCATGTTAAACCTTGAAGCAGATGTGCTACAGCAGCACAGGAGTGCAACAGGTGCCACTCCTGTCAGCTAAGAACAGAAAACTGAGGCTACAGTTCGCTGGGGCTCACTGAAACCGGGCAACAGTAGGCTGGAAAAACGCTGCCTGCTCTTACGAGTCTTAATATCTGCTGCAGCTTCAGTGCGCAGGGTCAAAATGTGGTGTAAACAACATGAAAGCATGGATCCATCCTGCCTTGTGTCAGTGACTCAGGCTGCTGCTGGTGGCGTGATGATGTGGAGGAAATTTTGTTAGCACAGTTTTGAGCCCTTAGTACCAACTGACATGCCGCTGAAACCCCACATCCTATTGCTGCTGACCATATCCATCCCTTTATGACCACAGTGCACCCATCGTCTAAGAGGATAGCACACCATGTCACAAAGCTCGGATCATCTCGAGCTGGTTTCTTGAACATGACAATGAGTTGTTGTGTACTCCAATGGTCTCCACAGACACTAAATATTAACTCGACAGAAAACATCTGGGATGTTAATATGAACCAAAATCTGAGGAAGGATTCCAGCATCTTGTTGAATCTGTGCCATGAAGGTCCAAACCAGTACTAGCAAGGTGTAGGTAACATAGTGGACAATGAGTGTTTATACTTGGAAATAAAACTAACGTACCGTTTCAAAAAATGTTGGGGTGCTGTGTAAAATGCAAAAGGCATATGATAAAAAAAGAAATAAAACTGTTTATATTATAAAGAAAACACATCAAGAGTTAACACTGAGAAATCACCTGAAAAAGCATCTCAGAATGAATAAGGTTAATTAGTAACATGATTGGGTATAAAAAGAACATAAGACAGGCCGAGTCTTTCAGAGGTAAACGTGGGGAGGAGTTCACTGCTCAGAGTTCATGTGGGTAAAACTTGAACGTAAGCAGCAGGTTTGAGAAGGCACCATTAATATTTACAAGACTAGGAGTGACACATTCTATTATGCAGACTGCTTTCAGGGAAATCATCGTTTATTTCAGC